CTAAACACACTCTTACTGTAAGACCCAGCAATCACATTCCTTGGTATTTACCGAGACCTGAGAACTCATGTCCACTCAAAACCTGTATATGCATGTTTGTAACAACTTTGCTCACTGCCAAACCTTGGAGGTGAGCAAGATATTCTTTGATAGGTGAATTGATAAACACACCATACATCACTGTATGGTGATACATCCATACAACGAAATATTGTGATAAAACTAAATGAGTCATCAGGACATAAAAAGATATGGAGGAAATTTAAAGGAAATAATCAAGTGAAAGAAACCAATCTGAAAAGGCTACATACTGTGTGATTCCAACCACATGACATTTTGGAAAAGGCAAAATCATGGAAGCAATACAAAATATCAATTTTTGGGGGGGGTGCCTGGGTGGCTCAATTCGTTCAGCATCAGAGTCTTGATTTCGGCTCAGGTCATGATCTTGTGGTCGTGGGATTGAGCTCTGAACTGGGCTGTGCGTTGGGTGTGGAGCCTACTTAAGATTCTCTCTCTCCCTTTCCTTCTGTCTCTCCCCCATATGCTGGTGCAGCCTCTCTCTCTCTCAAAAAAAAAAAAAAAATCAGTGGTTTCTAGGGGCTGGAGGAAGCAGAAGCATGAAGAGTCAGAGCACGGGGGATTTTGGCAGTGAAATGATTCTGTATGGTATTATGATGATGGACACGCATCATTACACATTTGTCAAAGCTCTTGAGGGGCGCCTGGGTGGCTCAGTCGGTTAAGCGTACAACTTCGGCTCAGGTCATGATCTAGCGGTTCGTGGGTTTGAGTCCCATGTCAGGCTCTGTGTGGACAGCTAGCTCAGAGCCTGGAGCCTGTTTCAGATTGTGTCTCCCTCTCTCTCTGACCCTCCCCTGCTCACGCTGTCTCTGTCTCTCAGAAATAAATAAAAACAATTTTTAAAAAAGCTCTTGAAACAACACCGAGAGTAAACCCTGATGTAAACTATAGGCCCCAAGAGATAATGACGTGCTACCGTAGGTTCATCCATCGTTAACAAACGTACTACTGTGCTGTAGACGTCCATGGTGGGGAGGCTATGTGTTTGAGGGACAGGGACTCTATGGGAACTCTGTGTACTTTCCACTCAAATTGCTGTAAACCTAACACTGCTCCAAAAAAATGAAGTCCATTAAAAGAAATGCCTGCTGAATAGCGAAAGCTACCCCTGTGGGGAGAGCATGAAGCCTGACAAGTGGCTGCTGGTCGCTGGCCTTGGGTGAGGACTGAGGGAAGCCTAGAGGAGACCCAACAGAAAGCATGTGGAGGAAGCTTCCGCGCCCACACTGAGTGGAACTGGCACTGAGAACAGACGCAGAGGTGAGATCAAATGTGCTCCTCTCACATCATCCTCAGGCTTCATGTGGCTAAAAGCTGAGGCTCCAAGGGAACATGCCCCTGTCGTGGGGTTTGTTTGCAGAACATAGGGATGCAAATGAGAAGTTCAGAGAAAATCTAGAGAGCGTTCCAGGGCACAGACGATAGGAAAGAAGGTTCAAGAGGCCTGGGAGGCAGTCCGTCAATCAGTCCTCAGTATTCAAACTCCAGAGATGTTGAAAAAGAGGGTGAAGTTCTATTGGATTAAGACGAGTGACTAATAAGCTCTCGCTCTGCTTTGACGCTAATTCTGGAGATGAGGAAACAGAGTCTGAGTGAGGTGCCGACCACATATCTAGAGAGTGGAGGCAGGGCTTAAGCCTCCCTGTAATTGTAAATCCCTCCTCTCACCACACCCCGCTTCATCGAGGCCTCTTACAGGAAAGCCAGGGAACGTGCTGAATCCAGAGGGCAGTGGTCGGATCTCTGCCCTGAACTTTTGGGTGAGACCCGACTGATTGTCCGCAGCCCCGGGCCAGGAGGCTGCTTCATAAAGAAGAGGTGCCCGAGCAGAAACCCAGAAACCGGATGACCATTGCTGGAGGTGTCAGCATCGGGCTGGGAAATGGTGGCCGGAAGGCAGCCCATCCATACGTTGTGTTTCTGGGTTTTTCCATCACACCATCCGAAAATGCCTTCATGAGGGAAGACACGACCAATCCCGCATCCTAATCACATCTATTCCGAGCTAATGTGTCCAGCTGTTTCTCAGTGGTTCTCAACCCTGGCCGCATATGCATTACCTGGGGAGTTTTCTAAGGTGTAGCCGTCCAAGCTCGCTTCCCCTAAGTGAAAGATTCTCACACCCTGCTCACTTCAAACGGGCAGACTTCCCTCACCTCTCAGGAATGCTTTGTCTGCTCAGTCTTGCTGAGGACAGTGGCAGGCCCCAAATGCTTACAGAGCAGGTTAGAGTCCCCAGTCTGCTTGCTGTGGTGTGTGCGCATGTGCAGCACCCGGGTAAGGCTGACGCATTCGTTGTCAAAGGACAAAGAGGTGGATGCAGGCCCGTGGGCTGGGCAATCAGAGGCTCTGCCACTGGTTTAAAAAAACCGAAGCCCTACTCCCATGGTAGAAACTTTCCAGGTTTTGATGGGAACCTATATTGATTTAAACACAGTAGGGGCCCCTGGGTGGCTCAGTCAGTTAAGCGTCCGACTTTGGCTCAGGTCATGATCTCATGGTTTGTGGGTTCGAGCCCCACGTTGGGCTCTGTGCTGACAGCCAGCTCAGAGCCTGGAGTCTGCTTCAGATTCTTTGTCTCCCTCTCTCTCTGACCCTCCCCTGTTCATGCTGTCTCTTTCTCAGAAATAAATAAAAACATTAAAAAATTAAAAAAAAAAACACAGTAGAGCAACAGCCATTTAACTTCGGAAGGCCTCTTAGAGTTGAGCCCCACAGATAAGGGAACTTCACTCCAATGTCCGCTCACATCACTTGTGCTTGAGAAGGCACCAAGGGCATCTAAGAGGCCCCTAGAGCTGTGCTTGCTGACGAGCCACCACGGAATGGCTCCGGCTGGGCCACAGTACAGTTCTCAGCTGTCACTGTAAAGTTTATTTCAGGATGTCAGACACGTGCAGAGAAGTAACGATAAGCTTCGCCGTGTTAAGACTTTTTTTAAAAGTGTATACTAACCAGCTACAGAACCCCGGGAAGATGATAAAATAATAAAGCTCTGACCCAACATTTTCAGATTCCATTTTTAGTTAAGGAAATCAAAAGCTCTTTTTCTTGAGAATTTATTAATGGGCACAAGCGAATAATGGGTTTGGAAAGTATCCTGTAAATGCTGGGTCTTTCACTTTGTTGATTTCGACAGGATGAGGGTCATTATTGTTGCCACAGCCTATTTCGGCAGAGATAAAAGATTCCAGGGCCAGTGGCACCCCCCGGATCACTCCTGCTGGTCTTCCCCAGATCAGGAGCCCACTCAGAGAAGAGCAGGTGTGGGACGAGGCACAGGTTTACGCTGAAAAGGAAAACTTACGTAACACCGGGTACCTTTTATGAGTGTGCACTGTGCACGTGTCGAGCGCCCGTGCTGAGCATCGGTGAGGGAGCTGTCTGTCCCCGGGGGTGGCCAGTGGGGGGTGGAGGGGACGGGTAAGTGCGACCGCTGTCCCCCATGTGAGGCCGTGCGAACTGAGCCTGCTCAAGGCCTACGGGTGGTTAAGTGGCTTTTAGGGATTCTCAACTCTCACATCAGGTTTGGACAGACCTCAAAGGAGGAAGACTTGTAAGTTCTCACTGGAAGGATATCACCATCACATCGTTCAGTGAAAAGGGAACATTTCTGTAAAACTGAAGAGTGCACTTGGAAACATCACTGGCCTCCTTTCTGCTCCTTTAACACGGCTACACGTACTGTGGTCCGGGCACCAGCAGCATCGCCATCCTCGGGGAGAGGAACAGAGGCAAGTTCGGAATGCAGAGTCTCAGGCCCTGGCCCGGGTCCCCGGGCCCTGAGTCAGAATCCGCATTTAGCAACAGCCTGCTGCTCTGCGTGCTCAGGAAAGCTTGAGAACCTCGTTCCCTTCTCCTGGCCTCCTCCATGCCTGGGGGGAATGCTCCTCCCCAGAACTCCCCTGCCTTGTTTCTTTTTTTTTTTTTTTTTTTATATTTTTTTATTTATTCCTAGGAGAGAGAGAGACAGCGTGAGCAGGGGAGGGTCAGAGAGAGAGGGAGCCACAGACTGAAACAGGCTCCAGGCTCTGAGCTGGCAGTCAGCACAGAGCCCGACGCAGGGCTCGAACCCACGAACCGCGAGATCATGACCTAAGCGAAAGTCGGACGCTTAACCGACCAAGCCACCCAGGCGCCCCTCCCCTGCCTTGTTTCTTAACTCTGTGCTAGTCCTCCCCCTGGGGGGTCTTCCCTGAGCTCTGTGTGGAAAGCAAGAATGCTCTTTTGCTATCAGCTTACCCTGTTTCATCTCACCCAGGGCAACTGTCACTCCTGAAATCGTCGTCAGTTTCTTACCCGTCCTTCCCAAACGCGGCGAACGCCATCCAGGCTAGGACTTCGTGTCCCCAGGACCTAAGGTGCTGGCTGGGAGAGAAGTGCCTGATAAGCATTTTAGCGATGGGCCGCTATGTCTGCCGGACTGCACAGGGCGCCCGTACAGCTCAAACAGTGGAGACCTTCAGAGGCTGCGGAAACAGATGAGCTCCTTTTACCCGTCTGTGCTTCTTGTAAGTTTTCAAAGGAGTATGCATTGTTTTTATAATTTATGAAAAGCACGTTTCCAATAACTTATCCAACCATCTCAAGATAGATCACGCCACAAAACAAAGCGGGTTACATCTTTCCTTTTAAAAAGATTTTAGGCTTTATTATTAATTGATTGGGATATACTTTAATAAACGAGAAATCACTTCCTTTTAAGGGCCTGTGTGTTTCCCTTGGAAATGCTATGATGCTATGCAAAGAATTCTATCTGAAACTCAGACGTTACAACTACACCGTGTGGCTTGTGCACTGCCCCCACCAGCAGGTCCAGAAGTGGCCGCGAACCCCCGTGCTTGGTTCAGAATGACTGCCGCGAGGGCCACAGAGCCTGAGCGGATTCAAACCGGAGCCCACAAAAGAAAACAGTCTTCACTGATGAATCATTTATTTGGACAAGACAAAAATGTCTCCACATTGTTTCCTTTTATACAGAAAAGTGGAACATTTCAAATATATTAGTTTTTCTCTTTTTCAACAGAATTCATTTCAATCTGGTGCCGGGAACTTCTCATCTTAGGATTCGCGTTTGAGTAACACGTATGCACCCATTACAGCCAAGAGAGCGTACTGGGGAGAAAACACAGTGGAAAATTACCGTGAGGGCTACGGGTAAGTTTGGTCTATAAATGTATTCAGATGAAGCCTGCTGGATACTAGGCTGAGGACAGAATCAAAAGATGACCTCTTCCCCCATCCCTGTTCCCCAACTAGTGGCTCAATGCCATGCTCTGGTTTTAAAAGCCCCCGGTGTATTAATGGACCAAGGATCAAGCACCCAACAAACACAGCTAATTCCCTCCTCATTCTCGCATCCATTCCCTATTGTTCGTCAAGTGGTTTTTTAAAAAAACATAGATACCATTTTTACTGAACTAGGGAGATCAGCATTACTGGGTCTATTGTATTACCTTTCTTTTTCTTTTTTTTGTTATGTTTGAAGATTTTCATGATAAAAAGCAATAAATACAGAAGTGCCATTTTAGAGGATGCAATGAACATAAAAGATGAAAGTAGCTATTTTAAATAACTAATGCAAATATTGATAATGTAAATGGTTATGTTAATTTGTATTTAAATACAGATGTTCTGCAAAATAAAATAACCAGCAAAACATTTGAAACCGACTGCATCTTTACAACTGCACGTGTAAAAGCGCCAATATATAAATATATATGTGTATATGGTTTTTTTTTAAATGCAGACATACACGCAAATTCCTACCTTGAATTTTGGATAGTCATTCATTATTATGGTGACCATACCAACATACGGTAAAAACCTAAATTGTGGGATGAGAAGCCAGAAATATAAAAACTGATTGTAACATGATGACAGCAACATTTAAAAATACTCTAAATCAGCCTTAGGGAACAAATCTTCCTTGGGAATAGCACTGATTGGGGCTGTAAGATTAATAGTCACTCCGGCCTCCAAAGGCTTTATTAATCAAAAGCATCACGACGATCGGCCGGGACCATTTTTTAAGCAGGCACATGTTTTCCACTCGAGACGCTACTTGACTGTACTAGCCGCATTCACTGCAACAGAATTAAAATAATTAGTGGAGCCACTTGTACAAGTGGAACTGACAACTTTCATCAAGCTGGTTTTTAATGTTTTTCGGGGAGAAGTGACATTCAGAGACAGCCTGTGTGAAGACCGCTGTTAGAGGAAGCTTTCAAAGTACACAGAGAATTAGTTTGCAACAGAAAGATCCATCATCATTTTCATTTCACAGGGCTTTTCAGATGTAACGAACACGCTCGCTGGGCAGCAAACACAGATGTGAATCCCATCATTTCTACCCACACATGATTAGGCTCCCAGATGCCGCCGGTCCAGGGCACAAGCCAGCCAATGATTCTGCTGACGAGGTGAATGTCAATATGCAATCAGTGTGGCCCAGGTCTTCCCTCACTCCGGGGAAACCATATTAACACGTGGGGACCCTTCAATCTTATGTAAATCGGCAGCTCCAACTCTCCTTTATACAAAGCCTGTCCCCAAGACGTCTAAAAGCAGAGGACAGGCCAGCTGGAAGCCACTCCCATCTCCCCACAGATGTTCAAGGGGCAACGTAACCGCGTACAGTAGTTAAAAGGTGAGCCGGGGGAGAAAAGGAGCAGAAAGAAAGAGGCCTCAAATCACAAGCTGACTAGTAGAGCTGAATCGTAGAAAAGGGTAACCGGTGTTCTCCGGCCTCAAACACTCATGGGATTTAAAGATTAAAAAGAAAAAAGAAAAAAAAAAGACACTTCCAACAAGGGTTAAACATAAAAAAGGAAGAACTGCCTTCTTTTTTTTTTTTTTAAATAAGAGGCCACGCGCTCTGCTGTGCCAGTCAGAAGCAGGACTCCTTGCTGGCGCAGTTATGCAAAGGTGAATATCACAAGATTTATCACATACCTGTTTTGGGGCATGAAAAACAGGAAATAACCTAAATGTGTCCCCCCGGAAGAGGACTGGCTAAATAAGGTGTGATTTTGTGATTCCCAGGGGAGCAACAGTACGTAGCCATTTAAAAATACACGGATGTAGATTTGACACAGGAACCAGGAACCTATTTCTGACTTCTTGTTGGGTCAACAGAGAAAGTAAAACCCTCGTACGTAATATGCACACGCACCTGTATACGTGCAGGGAATGCCTAGAACATTCACCCAAGGGTTTGACAGTGGTGATCTCGGGAGGATTTCCTGGCATTGCTATTTAAAACCACAGGTAACTAACCTCTAGGGGACGATTTCTTTCAAGAACAGGATTAAACCAATGATAGAGCTCATTTGCTTGCATCCAGCTTTAGATTTTCAGCCCCTAGCGCTGAGCTGTATGTATACCGTGAACACAGTACCTACAGCGCAACTCAGCCCCCTCCCAGCTCCTCGGACAGACAATATTGGTAATGAGTGGTTCTATTCAGCCTGTACATTCAGTGTGTTTCTGATTATGTTTCTGGTTTCCGAATCCCTTACAGAACTTAAAGGTTCACGCTCACCCTCTGGCTCGTCCCACCACGTCCTTCTTTTCGAGCCAATTCTGGCCCTCTTTGTACAAGCCTCTGTCGTCGACTTCATTATTATCTCCTTTAGTCAAAAATTTGATGTCTCCGTTGTCTCTGGAAAGCGAAATAATGTCTTTTCAAAAACGGTTTTTGGCACGGCATCATTAGAAAACAGTTTGTTTACCTGGCACTTCATGGTCAGAGGCGGGCGTCGGAACAAGCATTCAGCGAGAACGTGAGCTTTTGGTCTGAGGGGACTGCTCACGAGTAACCATCCAGCTAAAGCACAGATCTACGGGTGGTTCTGTGGCTCCACTTCTAGAATGCTCAAGTTACCCTGACAACCAAAAGGCACGGCAAAGCACAAGGGCACTGATAGACAATGATCAGCTTCCAGCAACTGCTTTCACTTCCTTAGTCAGCAAAGACCGACGTGTTACCGTGGGTTATATACATTCCTCTTCACCCTGGACACGAACTTGGGTCCCGGGTCAATAGATTTGAGCGCAAGGTAATTCACACGCGAGTGTGCCCTTACCCCTCCTCAAACTTACTTTGCCTTGCCAAATGTGGAATGTTCATGCATTACCTCCTTCACCACTGAGAGAAGTGGTGTCAAATCCGGTTTGCAGAGAAACAGAAACACAAATGGCATAAAACCAGTGTGTTAAAAAGACATGTGGGATTAATTTTAAACCTTCGAAACTGGTGCTTACGCAGCCCTGACACTAGAAACACAACATTACAGCATTCTAGAGCTCTAAAGAAGGCTTTCTTTCAATAAGACAAATGGAAAAATACACTTTTATAATTAGATAAAATATTGAAAGCCCACAAAGATTTGAAGCCATTGCCAAAAGGAGCAGGCTGATTTGCAGCTGCGGTTATAAAGGAAACCCAGAGGATAAAAATCCACGCAGCCTCTCTCACAACTCATGCAAATTGCAGAAAATCATTATTTCCTCAACTTTGAATAATTTCTCCTTCAAGTATCAGCGTCTTTAGCAACTTCTTTGGGGAACAGCTGGAAGCAGTGAGTGAAACGGGAACCTCATTCCGGAAATGTTCACGTAGCTGCACTACATGTGTACATGCCCCGCACCCCCCCACCCCGTCCACACTATGAGAAAATGAGAAACGCTGTTACTTTAAAAACACAAATACACACATCTAAGTGCAATTCCATACCTCAGGCCGGTGAAAATGCTACACTAAGCTGCGTGAAGGTAAATGATTAACCGAGTATGTGAAATGTAACATTCCCACTAATCCTGTGGCTGTACTCTCTCCCATGGGAACTTAGTATAGTGGAGATAGAAATTTCTAGTTTCCAAAAAGCATCTTCAGAGGCCACCACTGGCATGTAAAGGAAAGGAAGCGCATCTGTGGGGGGAGAACTGGTGCAGGAGATGCGCTGCCCGAGCCACAGGGTGAGCCGGGGAAAGGAACGTTCGTCCATCCAGGGCTAAGGTGACCGCCGAGAGCATTGCCACTCGGCCCAAAGTGACACAGGGAAACAGGCACTTTTTGTGTCTCAGACAACAGTCCTCATATCAAGGTCAACCTCAGCTGCGGCGGGATGGGGCTCCCGCTGAGCCTCCCTTCAGATAACTATGATGCTACAGCAGGTTCACCTTACGTCACACAGCAATTTAAGTTTCCGAGCGCCTCAGGAAACACCTGTCATTTGGTTCTCATGATGGCCCTGTGAAACACTGTGGGCAATGATAATGCTATCAGTCCCGTCCTACAGACTGGGCGAAGTGGCACGTCCAAAGTCGCCCAATTAGCAAACGGCGGGACGAGGAACATAATCCAGACCGAGCTTCTGCTACTTTCTAATCAACCATTAAAACCGGCTGCCAAAACCGAATTACTAAATTCTGCACCTGAAACTAACAAACTGGAATTTAAAGAAAAACTTGAGGAGGGGGGGAAACCGTGAAAAAACAAATAAAAGTTTGATAACAATCAGTGCTGATGAAAAAATACATTAAAAATATATAAAAAATAAAACTGGCTACCGAAATGTACCAAACCCCACCAAAAGGAAGGAAAGCCTCCTTACTTTTCATGAACTTTGATTACTCTGTGAACTATTGGAATGTCTCGTCCCTCGACTTTAAAGACCACGATTTCACCAGCTCTGATAGGGTCTTCCCGGAAGTTAGTGAGGAACAGAAGGTCGCCCCTGTGGAAGGCCGGCTCCATGCTGCCACTGGGAAGAGACACGTCACATCCGAATTAGCCTGGGCTCCCAAGGGGAATGTTCCAACTCACGAAGAATCCAATCGTAGACACGTCAGTGGGAGTCTCAACTTCCGCCGTCGTGGCGGTCTAGGGCCCGAAGGACAAGTGTGGCGGTTTCCTCCTGAGTGCTCCTGGTGAGGCCACTGACCGAGACAGGAAACCACCTCCTCTTAGATTTAAGTAGGAAAAGGGTAGCAGCAGGCCCCTCTGCACCGTGTATTAGGGAGACAAAAGAAGCAAGTATAATGTGAACCCTTTGAAGTAAAAGCTGCCAAGGTTTAGCCTTAAAAAAGTCCTACATCGGGGCGCCTGGGTGGCTTAGTCGGTTAAGCGTCCAACTTTCACTCAGGTCATGATCTCACGGTTCGTGGGTTCGAGCCCCGCGTCGGGCTCTGTGCTGACTGCCGGCTCGGAGCCTGGAGCCTGTTTCAGTCTGTGACTCCCTCTCTCTCTCTGGCCCTCCCCTGCTCATGCTGTCTCTCTCGCTCTACTAGAAATAAATAAAACATTAAAAAAAAAAAAAAAGTCCTACATCTACGGAGACATTACTATTCTCACTCAGAACTGCAGACTCCGCAAGCTGGTGGGTTCTCTAGGGCAGTTCTTGTGTTTCGTGGCTCACCCCCAGCACCTAGGACATGGCACTTCCGCTCGAGGAGGAGAAACGAACATGTGAATGCCTTAGGAGAGTGATCTATCTGAAAACCAAGCTGAGGGTGGGGACGGAATTCGGACCCAGGTCTCTGGGCTCCTGCGGCATCATCCGTCAGGCCATACTCTACAGAGAGCTCAATTCTAACAAACGCTGACTGTATCTGATGTGGAGGTCAATGAACAATCCCACACCTTGCCGGTTTAAATTCATGCCCAAAATCTTCGATGGATTCAAATAAATTGTAATCTAGCAGAAGCTGAGATTATCACAACAGAATTCATTTTACATACGTTCATGCTCTGTCTTAACGCAGGAGAAAATAAGTAAGGCCTGAAAATATAGCAACACAGGGGCCACAGAATCAAGAACCGGTGAGTTTGTTGAGGGCAGGATGGGGCAGGAAGAGCCAGACTGGTGAAGAAATGGGGTGCTTTAAAGGAAAACGTGGGCTCAAAATGGGAGCGGCTCAAGAAGTTGACCCTCCTGTCCCTCCGCACCCTGAAACACCTTAAGCTTGTCAACGAGTGCAGATCACCAAGGAGAAATACAGTGGGCTGGGCCTGTCACTGGGTACCTGCCGATGTAGTTATTTTTAAGTTAAACCAGTGACGCTGCGTATTGTAATAGATCTGGCATCCCAAAATAGGAAATCTGAATAAAAAACAGAGAGGGGGCTAGAAATATAAATGACGAAGAGGGAAAGAAAGAGAAAACAATTAAGAACTACAGCTAGAAAACCTTCCGGACAAGTCTCGGAGGCAGGAAGAGCACTGTTTGTCACCAAGAGTCATGACCATGGCCCATGAGGAGAGCACTTCTGTGAAATAATTCACTAATATCAACTACACCTGCTTTCCCCATGAGTCAGGGGTTCCCCAAAGGTTAGTGTTCCCCAAGGGCACACATTTCTCATGATGTCAACAGTTTACATGACAGACCAAATTGCTTTAGAACTATAAAGGATGCTTTAAAAAAAAAAAGTCCCCATACACTGCAATGTTACAACAATTTCTGTGTACAAGCGTGTCTGTGTGATTTAAGGAAAACCAGGGAATGTGGGGTCTAGTTTGGGTTCTGCCAAGAGCAGCTGTAATGGCTCGGCCTTGGTGGGCCTCAGGCTCTTTATCTGTTAAGTAAAAGGGCCCGTCGAAATTTGAGGTTTTTAATTTCTATTTAGAAAAAAAAGTCTAAAACCCTTCCCTCGAATAAAATCTTACGAGGAAGCATAACCACATACAATACATAAAAATGGAGCTGTCACAACTAAAGCAAGGCTGAGGTGTCTCTAATCCACACACGTGGTCCCCTTCTCCCTCCTACCCTATCTGCTGAACCCCAGGGCACTCAGAGCGCAGAGTGAGAACGAGTGAATGGGGGCCCGCATGCTCTCCTAAGGCTCTGACATTTATGGAAGCAGCGCATCTCTAGAAGCAGGCTGCTTGGCCAGCCACACGGGGGGCAAATGGTGAGGCCGGGGCCTCAGCCGAAGTTCCGTCATGTGGCAGCAGGTAGCAGGGGAGGGAAAGGGCACTGGTTTGGGAGCCAAGACCCCTGCGTATTGGCCTGGGCTCCTGGCACTGGCCAGCGGTGGCCCCACCTATAAAACAAACAGGCTCCATTCCCACCCACAGGAAGGCCCAATGGTCAAAGTCACATGGACAGAGAGCATCCGGAGGGACCTAAGGCTCCCACATATGGTTATTTAATTTCGACTTGATTAAATTTCCCCCCCGAATGACTTTGTGGCTATATGAAGTTAACTAAAGTATTGAGTTTTCTAAATTTAACATCCTGTGCTTTATAAGAGTAACAGTCCTGAGAGACTAGCCACCTACATCAGTATTGCAGAAGCGGCTTGAAAAAGTACAGTGTGCTCTGCTGGGCCCTGGGGGTACACGCTCCCCTGTCTGCTCTGTACAAAGGAAACCAAGTTTTCAATTATGTTTCAAAATCAATCAACGCAGTAATAACATATGCTTGTTACTTTGGGCAGATTAAAGCATGAAAACACAGAAGCAAATATACTGCACTGGAGCATTAGCGAAAACATCTGTTGAAAAGACCAGATTTGTCAACAAAAGTCAGAAACAATGAAAACAGGTCTCAACAGAAAATTCAAATACTTTATCCAATTAAAGTCCCGAGTCCGGGTGGCCGTGCAGGCTTTCACTCCAGGCGACACCGCTCCTCCGTCACCTGTCACGAGGCGGCCGCGTCACAGCCTGCGGAACCTACCTCAGCACCACCACGATCGGGCTCTCGCTGCCGGTGAGGACGATCAAGCCCTTCCAGATCATAAGTGCCGAAGACACGATCATGGCAAAGTTTAACACCTGGTAATAGAGCTGGAATGAAAGAGGCCAGACCCAAAGTGAAAAGCAGTGGAATTATATTCACTGACCCCAAGCTGGCCATGAGCTGGTTTTTAAACAAACAAAACACACAAAGCTGTGTTTATTTTAGGACGTTAAACTAATTCGTGCAAACCACACACATAGGTAGCATTTCAACTTTTGTCTGTGGAATGAGCCTTCCATTTATTGTTTCTTTTACAATAAGAGAAAGGGGGAGGGGAGCAGAATAATCCATGGGACCTACTTTGTTAAAGCCTTGGTGGAGGCTCCACTTACGTCTTGCATTTCCCAGAAGCTTCAACCCTGAAGAGTCCGTGACTCAATTTCTACCCCGGGGGCTACAACTCTGGCGTAGAAAGCCCACATCTGATGTGAGAGCCCATCACAGGCAGTGTGCTTTACGGAGAACCACCCCTGAGCCCCTGGCCAAAGAGGGCCCCAACGAGGCTTCAGAGTCCTCTAGAACTTAGCAACAGAGTCCTCTAGTACTTAGCAATGAGGCTGTTCTGCATCTGAAATTACATTTCAAAGTGAACAAAAACTTTAAATACCTGGATGTTCAAATTTTCCATGAATGTCTTGTGTTTTATTTACTTTTTAGAGAGAGAGTGACAGCGCAAGCAGGGGAGGGACAGGGAGAGGGGGAGACACAGAATCTGAAGACAGGCTGCAGGCTCTGAGCTAGTTGTCAGCACAGAGCCCGACGCGGGGCTCGAACTCACAAACCGTGAGATCATGATGTGAGCCGAAGTTGGATGCTTAACTGACTGAGCCACCCAGGCACGCCTCCCATAAATGTTTTAAAAAGTAAACAGTATCTGGTTAAAAACATAGGCAGGAAGCCACACAAGATGGTATCTAGTTCTAAGCTGACCTCGTCCCACCTTAGACGACTGAGTTAACATCCACAGGGCTGGCGGTGCTGCAGCGCCAGACTCTTCCTCGCTGACAGCTGCCTGCCACAGCCACCAGCCCCTGAGGACTCCAGGGGGGAAGTACCTGCCCGCAGCACAACCCCCTATCGGGCTGTAGCGGAATTGTTGGGCCGGATGCCTACAGTCTTCCAAGTCACTGTGTCTACTACAACTCGAAATGTAAGTCCGTCCGGGCATCTGCCCTTCGTGTCCTCCGGGATGGCTCCTTACTCCAGTACCTGCCTCCATCTTCCTCCTCACAACCCCTGTCCTGGGTGATCCCATGAGCCATGTGGACGGTCTACCCAACGCTCAGTGGGTAGGAACTGTGCCTCAGTTCCTAGACATCCTCGTTTCTAAAGACCTTCTCCCTCCACCAGAACCAACCACTTTCGGCAACATACCTGGAACTGAAACGGCTCAATCCCCATGTCTCTGCTTCAATGATCCCCTTCCACCTGCCCGCATACACCTGTTCTTCTGCCCTATGTAGTCACCTACCTGGCAGGTCTCTTGTTCTTTCAGGGGCCACCCCCCTACCCACCCATTCACTCTATACATTCTGACCTCCTAAATACTTCTGGACTCTATTCCATTCTCTCTGTTCCCACTGGCTGCAGTCTCATCCAAGTCACCAATGTCACCCACTGGGCAACTGCAAGAGCCTGCTAACCAGTCTCCCAATATCCATACACACCTCTTCCCGTGCATTCTCCATGTTACACTCTGTACTCCTTTTCAAATGCACCTCTGGCCATCTGATCATCTCTACGCCCTGCTTCGACTGCATTCCTTCAACCGTATCCCACTACTCTGAGGATGAGTGTGGTCTCTTAGGCCCTCTCTGGTACACCCCCCAAATCCACAGCTTCAGCTGGTGAAGTGCGCTGCATTCTCGGTACCCTAGTGGTACCTGCCAGTGCTTCAGAGAGCACACACCCCTCTCCACTCCTTCACCTGGCTGTTTCCTCTGCCCAGAGCCCAGAGGCTCTCCACCCGGACTCCTTAGCATACCTAATACTCACTCATCTTAAATCCTACTTTCAACATCACTTCCCCAGAGAAGCCTTTCCTGACCTACTAGACTAGGAGTCAGCAAACTTTTTCTGTAAATGGCCAGATAATAAGTGCTTTCGGTTTACAAGCCACATGGTCTCCGTTGAAATGACTCAACTCTGCCATGTAGTGAAAAAGAAACTAAAGACAATGCGTAAAAGAATGAATATGACTGTGTTCTAATAAAACTTTATTTATAAAAACAGATGGTGGGCTGGAGTCGCCACCCTCTGCTGTAAACCAGCCTAAGTTGTTACATATTCTCACTGCATCCTGCACTTCTTTATGCCACCTGTCACTACTGTAATTAGTGTAATTTTTTTTTTTTTTTTTTAGAAAGAGAGGGCACAAGTGAGTGAGGAGTAGAGAGAGAAAGAAGTGGGGCTCACCCAGGGTTTGTGTTTTTCCCTGAAGTGGGCTCCTGTTCACCCAAAGCAGGGTTCGAGCTCACCCAGTGTGGGACTTGAACTCACGAGCTGCGAGATCATGACCTGAGTCAAAGTCAGATGTTTAACAACTGAGCCACCCAGGTGCCCCATATACAGGTCATTTTTCATGTGTCTTTCATTTAGACTGTAAGCTCCACAAAAGCAAGGATCATTTTGGCCTTGTTCGCAGCTATATCTTGTTCAGTACAGGTCTGGCAAAAAGTAAGTACTCGATTTGTTGAATAAAAAGTGAGAAAATAAATATCTTCAATACACAGTGGGTACAAACAGACTAGTAGTAAGGAAAACACTAAAATCCCAACAGCAACAAAAAGAGGTAAAAGCTTAAGATCATTAATTTTCCAAAGAAGACATACAGCAGTGAAGAATCACTCCAGGTGTTCAAACCAAATCCTGCCTTCCCCCTCCCCTCTCCTTTTTTATGTTGAGCAAATTTCAAGCTTAGGTGGGGTTTTTGTTTGTTTGTTTTTAACGCTAATACTCAGTGCCTGCCCAGGGCGCGCTGAGGTGCGATACGGATACGATATGGATACGCGCAACGTGCATGTGGGTACCACCACTGTGAGAGCCATCTGACCTTAGTATCACAAGGTTACTTCTGGCCCAACAATTCTACCTCTAGGAATTCAGTCTCCAATAAAGGCAGATAGAGACGTATCATGGTCCTATTTCTCATAACAGAGAGAAAGAAATGAAGGCGCGACAACAGAGAAATGCCGGAGTAAATACTGGCAAGTTACTGCACTATTTAAAACAAAAGTGTGTGTAGGCTGCAGGAAAATCTCCACACACTAAAAGTTTGTCAGATAAACACAAGGAGACGCCCTCAACTGCTGACAGAGGCCAACTCAGCACGGTGCAATTATGAGGTGTTGGATTTTCTTCTTTTAAGCTATTCTCTATGCTTTAAAATAGTGACGGGTATGGAAGAACTCCAAAGTCTGGGGAAGATAAACGTTTAAAGGGGTTTGACAGAATATGATATGGTCATTAAAATAACTACTTTGAAGAGTGTGACAAAACACGAAAGCACATCTGACATGGCGGTAAGGTAGGAAAAGCAGAGCCCGTATTGCTACGACTAGACATCTGTGAAGTTATGTAATTCCAGCTAGTTATGAAGGAAACTGAAAGTGGAAACATAAAAATGAATTAAAATAACCATGACGGTGTTTTGATGTAAGAGTTGAAAAGAAGACAAACGTAATTCACAATTAAAGCTACGTACCATATATGTGTATATATGTATATTTTTTAATTCTTTGGTGGGGCACCTGGGTGGCTTAGTCGGTTAAGCGTCTGACTCTTGGTTTCGGCTCAGGTCATGATCTCATGGTTCATGGTTTTGAACCGCGATCAGGCTCTGCACTGTGCAGAGCCTGCTTGGGAATTCTCTCTCCCCCTCCCTCTCAAAATAAGTAAATAGAAACTCAAAAATACAACAACAAAAAAAAAACAACAAAAAAAAACACAAAACCTCTTTGGCTACTGCGTCAATAGCAAATTAAGAAACTCTCGGTAAATTATCAGAAAAGCAAATAAGGAAACTGGAGTGCCAAGCAGACAGCGTATAGGTGTGGGGCTGTAAGACATTAAACTGTTGCTTCCAAAGTAAAATCGGCCTTGCAGGGCACATCAGTCTCAAGCAGAAGTTGTTCACCGTAGCTCACATTCAGAAACTTCTCTACCCGCTCTGCCTGACTTGAAGGATTTGATAAGTAAATGCTGTTTCATTATGAATTACAGATCTGACTGGGAAAGCCACAAGCCACAGTTTTAAACAGAAGTTGTCATTTGTAGACCAGTTTTCAAACCATCGGTCTCCACCCTGATCAAAGCAAAGCATAAAACCTCGTCATTTATGTAATAAAGATCTGGCACTGAGAGTATCTTTTCCAGTACGATTTTCTAGGCTTGCAAAATTCATCATGGGGAAGTAAAATCGATTCTCCAACCCCCCCCCAAAAAAAACTTCCTTTGAGCAAGACATCTATTTGCTAAAAATATGACCGACTATACAAAAACCTAATCATCAAGCTAGCTGCAAAACCACAGATCATAATTCAATACCCTACTTTTAAGAGACCAATGAATCCGAGTCTAGGATTAAAACGTAGAATCTAGAAACATAATTTGGATCGAACGGCTGACAAACTGGGATCTAAAGAATACGCCACCACCTTTCACTGGGGCCTTGTTTTTCATCTTTACCTACCAATTCTATACGCTCAGCAATTCATAATCCCAGCAAAGTTTAGAAGGAAACCCACGCTCAGTCTTTGTCAACCAAAAATGAAATAGGCAATGTCTGAGAGTTTTAAACACACATTTCAGACCAGAGATTCCGGCCCACAAAGCAACAGAAATGCCAGTCGCTGTATTTCTTCCTTCTTCTGCTCCTCACTGCAGAAACAAAGAATCCTTGTGTTCACATGTGGCCCTTGCCTTACTTCAGAGCAGGCTGGGGCAGCAGAGAGAAGGGATCCGACTTCCAAGACTGGCGAAGCATGCATGCCTGACAAGGTGTCAGAGGATGCCGTTTTGGAAGGGAAAAGAAAAAGAAACAAAGGACAAAGCTTAAGGGGGGGGGGGGGGAAGTACCGGGAGGCAGCAGATTTGAGCTTCTGAATTTTAATGAGAAAACTAGCAAAACACAGACAATGCAACGGCTATTGACAGGCCTGATCACCGAGAGGGAATATGGAGGTTTTTCAAAAAGCAAACGAGTTTAGGAATTGATACATGCATCAGAAGGCCTTCTCTGAGAGTCTGCGATGATAACCACCAGGATTCGGTACCAGTTTCAGAGACGTTTCAAAATGCTAGCCAATTAGGTCTAGATTTTTAAATAAAGCTCTATTTTCTGGAGGATTTCCTTGGGAACGGCATCGATGCTCAGGGAATTAGCTGTCGGTCTGTCAAGCTGCTGATAATCACTGCCACATCCATCTTTTATTTTTTTCATGTTTTTATTTATTTCTGAGAGAGAGAGAGAGGGGCAGCGTGAGCAGGGGAGGGTCAGAGAGAGAGGGAGACACAGAATCCAAAGCAGTCTCCAGGCTCTGAGCTAGCTGTCAGCACAGAGCCCAACGCAGGGCTCGAACCCATGAACTGCGAGATCATGACCCAAGCCAAAGTTGGAGGCTTAACCACTGAGCCACCCAGGCGCCTCTGGCACAACTCATCTTAACTGCAGAAACTCTCAGGACCTCGTTGGCTATGAAAACCTACGAACAACAGGATTCTAGACAACTGTTCATGAAATTCAAGTCACCAAACTCTCCTAGGCTACCGCACTAGTATAGAATTCTATTTGGACAAAAAAACAAATAAATAAACCATGTGTCCACAGGAGTAAGTTGTGCCATGCCACAGGCATCGCCCGACTCCTCAATCTAGTGGCAACAATTGCAGGATGTCTCAAAATCATGAGAATTTATACAATTTTCAAAGACAATCAAAATTACCAAAGGATGGTTCTGTTTTTCTTAGCATAATTTATTGTTAGGATCAACAGAAGAATTAGGATCCATTAGGATGTACCGTGCCCTCCAGGTCCCCTAAATTCTCCTTCTAGAAGCTTACACTATTGCGGTTATTTTTTCCTGGCGGAGAGGGCCTCCTTTCCAGTCCCTCCTCATTCTTTCCTTATACTGAAGACTTAAAGGCAGCGATGCTGGCCAAGGAGCTAAGACACGAGCAAGAAGGACGTTTTCCTCTGAGGTCACAAGAGTGAGAAATCAACCCCAGCTGGGCGCCTGGGTGGCTCAGTCGGTTGAGCGTCTGACTTCAGCTCAGGTCATGATCTCACGGTTCGTGGGTTCGAGCCCCGCGTCGGGCTCTGTGCTGACAGCCAGCTCAGAGCCTGGAGCCTGCTTCAGATTCTGTGTCTCCCTCTCTCTCGGACCCTCCCCTCTTCATGCTCTCTCTCGCTCTCTCTCTCTCTCAGAAATAAATAAAACATTAAAAAAAAAAAAAAAGAAATCAACCTCAGCTGCCCACAGGCCACACGCTAACTGCCTCCTATATTCAAGGTGCAGCCAGATGACAGAGTGGGAGATTAGGGAAAACTTCTGGAACACTGCATCAGTCTAAAATGATTGAGCACCACCAGGGAGCTCGCCAGGCGCCAAGGAGCTTTATTTGGTCCCGAGTCAGGTGGACAAAACACTTCCCAGCACGGGAAGCAATGACTTCGGGGGGCGGTACTGGACAGTTCCCGCTGTCAGAAAGTTCTTTCCTTTCGCCTGCCTTTCGGCCCCTTCCGTCCGCGGGTAGCCTTCGGATGTCAGGCCTCCAGAGCCTCACGGAGAAATCTATTCCCTCCTCCAGGGGGTGGTGGCCCTTCAAACAACGTGCAGACATTTGTCACTCACGCCCGACCCATCCCTGGCTTTCTCAGCCACATCTGACATCCATGGGACCAGACTGCTATTCTCTTCCCCTTCCTGGCCGCCCTCCCCTCACTGCGCTCCTGTCAGTGCAGGAAAGCGTACACACGTGCCCACGCCTCGGTTTGCACGGACTTGAACCCAGGGCCTCTGAGAGCCCCGTGGGCGAGCCTGGGGGCGCCGGGCGCTGTCCTTGCCGGAGCCCCACCCGGGAAGCCCCGACTCCCCGCAGTCGCAGCCGCTTCTCGCTGCCGGGCGCGCCCCCCGCACGGGTCTCCCTTACCTGGCGCTTGTTCATCTTCCTCAGGTCCCCGAAGATGTCCAAGCCCGAGGCCGGGAGATGCGTGCCCACGGCGCCCGCGCGCACCATGGCGGGCTCTCCAGGGGCCGACACGGCCCGCCGGCTCCGGGTGCCACCGACAGCTGCGGAGCACCCGCCTGGCCCCCGCCCACCAGCCCCTCGGCCTTGCGCACCACGTGACCGGCGACTCGCTCGGGCGTCTGGGAGTGGTAGTCCTGCGAGTCTTAGCCACCGGGCCACCTGGAAGGAACTGAGAAGAAGAAAACTACCACTCCCAGAATGCCGCGGGGCGAGAGGCTCGTCCAGTGAAGACCCAGAGCTCCTAGGGAGGGCAGCGATGGGACTCAGGAGCCTTGTCCGACCCTTCCGAGCGAACTTGGGAAAGAGAGTGATCCTGCATATCGGAGAGACAACTCGGGGACGTGACTATTCAAGAGGAACTGAATTCCGCAAGGCTCTGGTCAGGCGCCAAAAGGACACCTAAAGCTCCCTGGCATTCACCTAACCGTGTATCTCAGCCATTGGATGGTTGCGCCGAGCGGAGGCGGGGCCTCTCTTTTGGCCGCGGCTGAGCTGAATCCGGGAGGAGCCCGAAGAAAGGCCAGGCGGGTGGGCGGGGCTTAGAGGAGGCGGGACTTTTGAAGCCCTGGAATTCTGTGCTCTGGAAGAAGTGGGAGGATTTTGAATGCAAGAAAGCATCTTTGTATCCTTTTGACCGTAGTTGTGTTGCACCAAATATCACTTGAATGAGTAAATAGCCACCTAATTTTATACACTAGGAGACAGAGACCCGCAAAGGCTAAATGACATGGCCAACGTTAAAGGTCCGAGTCTGGATTAGAACTCAAATTTTACAAATTCTAAGTCCTGGAATACTGCGGCCTTGACCCTAGATTAGCTAGATCATTCATTGACTCAGTTATGCGTTATTTATTTCATTCGTTTATTCACAAATCGTTTTGAGGCATCAACTATGCGCCTGGCCTCGTTCTAGGCACTTGAGAACCATCAGTGAACAAAACGGGCAAAGATCTCTGGCCTCATGAAGTTTACGTTCCAGCAGAAGTAGATATAATAAATATGCAAATTATATAGTATCTAGAGGGCAGTGGTGCTACAGAAGAAATAAGAAATGCAGGCAAGAGGGACAAAGTGCTCTGGGGGAAGGGGGTAGGCTGTAGTTTAAAATATCCCGGAAGCTAACTTACTATAAAGCTAATGAAAGGTGAACTCTGGGACCCTTCACTTGCAAAGGCCGTTTGGAAGGAGTTGGAGAAAAAATGGTCATATAGTTTCGTAAAATATTCAAACGCAAGATATTTGAATTGCTGTTGGTTGAGTCTTGTTTCTTTGCATTCCAACCTCACCTCCATCATACTCATGTCAGAGGGACAGAAGCCTTTTGAAGATCCAGCTAAGGAGAAGTTGGGTTGGAGAGACCTTTAGTTTGGGTTCAGTAGATTTATTTGTGTGGTTCATGGTCATTCCCTGCCACCCTGGTGTAGGAATGGCCTTAACACTAGGCTCTTAAAAACAGGGAAAGAGGCCCTTTGAAGGAGATAAAGCAGAAGCTATGATATGGTTGTGACAGGGGTGATCCCTCTAGAATCAACTCCTGATGCTCCTGGGCCCTCAGTTTTGTCTGTTTGTCTTGTTCTTACACAGGAAGTCATGAAAGTAAGAGTGAGGTCTCGAAGTACCACAAAGCAACCCCAAAATCTCCAACCCCACCCGTTGACTGGGCTTTGGTCACTTTGTCTCTGTTCTCAGCTCCTCATTCTCCATCTCCAGCAGTTCTGTGATTTCAAATACAGAGTCTTAGCTCCTAGTAGCTTATTTCCTCCAAAGACCTAGGAAAAGGAGCAGAATCGAATTACTGTAGGCCCTGCTGCCAGTATCTGCGGAGATCGAGTTTAGTGCCAGAAATCAAGCATTCTTCTGGCTAGGGGTTGATTCTGGAGCTGTCTTTGATTCACTGCATGTCTTAAACCAAAATGTAATATTGCTTTATTTTCCTTTTTCCATGGAGAAGTAAGCATACTAATTTTCTGAGTGAAATCCCCTAAACAGAGGCCATACACCCTCCCTTCCCTCATGAGACATGATCAGAAACAAAACTAAGAGATCTCCTAGACGATAATCAGTTCAGTCTTTTACTTACGGATTTGTCTGCTCCACTGAGCACTAGGAACCCTGAGGTGAATAAGACACCTTTCTGGAATCCAGCTGAAGCAGACATGATTATCATATGGTATAATGGGTGAATGAGGTAAGGCGCGGTAAAAGGTCTGGACTCTAGTTTAGAGCCCACTTAGCAAATCTGGATAGCCCTTTTGAGCAGGAAGGGGGTGAAGAATTGCTACAGAGTCAATACCAACTAACATTTTCCCCCATATTTACTTTATATCAGGTAAATGCTTCTTTATACTTATTATCAATAACAAAACCGTATTTTACAGAAAATGGAAAACAAGCCTTGGATATGATAAGCAGCCTTCTCAATGACATAGAGCTAAGAGAAGACAAAGGCAGAATTTGAATCCAACGCCCAATGCCGACTCATTCTCTCCTTCCCTATGCCACGCAGTCTCTCTCCTCTATTCCTTTCTGCCTTTTGAAGCCCCTGGGACTGCATGAGCCCACACAGTTCCAGGTGGGAGTTTCAGCGTTCAATTTCCAAGTTCAAGCTTGCGCCTACAGACCGGTGGTATTGGGAACCATCACGAACACTGCAGACTCTCAGGGACCTTCGTGTACTTGAGCTTGGCGGAGACAGGTAGGACTCGTTCTTAAACGAAGACCGAACAGGAAGACATCTGTTGGATGACTTGGAATTTGGTCGATCCTCGAAGGAACACTGGAGCTCGGCTGGGTGGGCAGCGATGAGTCGCTTCGTGTCACATCTGAATCCGCAGCACCTGGTCAACGGCGCCAGACACCAACCCGCTGAGTTGCTCTGTGCCTTGCCTCTGCGGAAGGATAGCCTCAGAAGAGCTGCACTGCCTCAGGAATGGCATCATCAGAGCGTGGAAATTTGGCCGCCTCTCTTCCTCAATCTACCTCCCACCTGCTGCCCCAGGGCTCTTGTAAAAATAAGCCATTTCTCCCGCTGTCATGTCTTCTGATTACCTCCCTCTGCCTCACCGGTTGTTACAGCCGCCCTGAAGGGACTTTATCCCAAGTGTCAAGCATAGCAACAGGAAGGGGGTTGGGGGTGGGGGTGGAGGGTGCGGAAGATGATATTCACTAACCAAAGATGCTCATTTCGTTGTATGTCCCACACTACTTGGCTGTCATGTGACTGTCAAAAGAGCTTTGAAAACTTGGTTTCCTGGGGCACCTGGGTGGCTTAGTCTGTTAGGCATGGGGCTCTTGACTTCGGCTCAGATCATGATCTGGTGTTGGAGCCCCGCATTGGACTCTGCTTGGGATTCTATCTCCCTCTCTCCCTGCCTCTCCCATGCCTGGGAGACTTAAACTTAGCTACTAAGCTACTTAAACTTAGCTACTAAGTTTAACTCTATTTGGGGAAAAAAAAAAAAGCTAGTCAGACATTTTCTTACATTTGCTTTGTCCATGAGGCTTCAGTGCAAGAGTTTGATGGCCACAGGAGGACAATGCCCTGGGGTGCTGAGCACCCCGGGACAAGATTTGGGAGATCTGCGTTCCTCTGGTGCCCACGCATGGCAGAGTCCTCTCGAACCACCCATCTGTCCCCTTCCACCTCAGTTTCCTCATCTGTAGAAACAAAATTGTGGTGAGGCGCCTGGGTGGCTCAGCAGGTGAAGCGTCCAGCTTCAGCTCAGGTCATGATCTCACAGTTTGTGGGTTTGAGCCCCACCTCGGTCTCTGTGCTGACAGCTCAGAGCCTGGAGCCTGCAGCGAATTCTGTGTCTCCCTCCCTTCCTGCCCCTCGCCAGCTCCTGCTCTGTCTCTGTCTCTCTCTTTCTCAAAAATAAACAAACATTAAAAAAAAAAAAAAGGAAACAAAGTTGTGGCCTCTGAGGTTCTGTGGCAGGTATCAATTTCACAGCGTGGCCTCTAGGGAGCAAAAGGTAACTAATTCCAGCCTGGAATGACTTTTCCTAAAGCTGAGAAAAGTTATATTAAAGCCCCCCTTCTGCCTCATTCGCAGTAACTTAAGAGAATCACATTCAGTTTTAAAACTGGGTCAGTTTGAGAGTATTTAAATACTCTCTCTACCCCCTCCCTTTCCCGCCCAGATGGCAACCGAGTTAAGGGAGTCAGAGGCTGTGGTGTGCATGCCTCTCCTTCTTGATCTGTTTCCCTCCTGCTCTAGCATCCTTGAAAATGTAGTTTGTCTTACCTGGCCCTTGGATGTGAGCCTTTCCCCTAGTGAGTCACTGGCTTCTGTCCTCACTGCCCCCACTGACGTGCCTGTCATGGCCTCAGCCTTCACAGGCACACACATCACCTCAAGCCCCAGGCTTACAGGATCTACCAGGTCTGCTTTTCGGGTCCCCTCTTGACTGCCTTCCTGAGTCTTTCAATTCCGAAGTGAGTTTTGGTACATCATTCAGCCTCCTTTGGCCTTAGAAGCCTCCATCTCCTTCTCTTCTGTTATCTGACATCACTGCGGCTCAGGAGACACCAGTAAGGTGCTCAGAGGTCCCAATGATGCACTTCCAGTCTGGAATTACCAATCTTAGAACAAAGCACATATGGTGCACCTGGATGGCTCAGTTGGTTAAGGATCCGACTTCACCTCAGGTCATGATCTTGCAGTTCCTGGGTTGGAGCCCCGTATCGGGCTCTGGACTGACAGCTCAGAGCCTGGAGTCTGCTTTGGGTTCTGTCTCTCTCTCTGTCCCTCCTCTGCTCATTCTCTCTCAAAATAAATAAACATTTTTAAAAAAGAACAAAGCATGTATCTTTATACCTTGTTCTATCTTCAGGACTCAGCTGGAAGGGGGTGGAAGTGAAGACAGCCCTTGTAACCTGTACCAGTTTCCCTCTAACTTTCCTCTCCATGCCCGAGCTTAGCATTTTCAAAGGGATTCAAAGAAAAGTTGCTTGTGCTAGATAGCGCCCCCTTCATATCTTTTTGCTCTTGCATCCGAATGGCGCCTTTGATCTTAGAAATCAAGAATTTACCACCTTTGTCTCAGATTCTGAAATGATCCCTT